CATTATCCATAAAAAAAACAAAGCTCTGAACAATCAGTTATAAAAAGAAATAATTCAAACATAATATAAATAATCAAAATTAATCTAACTTATGAAATAAGGTTTGAGCAATTGATGTTTTCCTTTAAGAAAAATGTTATATTTTTAATTCTAACTGAACCCCCACACCGTGTCAATGAAGTTATTTGTAAATTATTTTTGTTAACAAAAGCACATAAGTTATAGTCTTTTTGATATCCCACTTTATCAATTATCAATCAAAAACGAGCGTTACCTACTGATGAAACTTTCACAGACTTTGTGTAAAAAGATATACTGACATACTTCAAAGTTAACTATTTATTCACATGTGATTTAAAATCAAAAAATAGTAACATTTATTTATGAATTTCCAGGCGAAACAATCAATTAGAAAAGAAAATAAATTACAGCAGATTAAATAAATGAACTTAATGTACTTTAAAGAACCATCTTCTAAATTAAAGTATATGTCTGGTTTGTTTTTAAACTTTTAACAAAAAGCAATGTCCTTTGATTACCACAGAAAAGGAGCTTAGATATACGAAGAGGCTGCTTTTAAAAAGATCTGATCTGGGCTCTAATAATAATAATGTCGGAAGCACAAGGCTTGGTCATTTCTACATCATCACTAGCAACTGCTCTGTTTATCTCCATAATAGTGCACATCGTCTGCGGTATATACTGCCTTGTCAAATCTCGCTTTAAGAGATTTTCGACACAACCAAAAGACTTAGAACGGTGCCATCACTCTAATTTCTGTCATGCCCACCAAAATCAGCTGATGTATCCAGTGTACAACATTCCACATAAGTCATCCCATCTCTCGAGAGAAAGAAAATCAATTGATTACATATCGAGTGCAAATGGTCTTCACAATTGCAGTTGGACAAGTGCTCAGTCAGTTTCCAACTCAACCAACATGGATGCTTCTGAGTCACCTTGCAATGAGCTTTCAAGCTCAGGCCCAAAGAATGACTTGGTTCATCAATTTAATCCTAACTTGACCCAAACAGTCAATGCTGGTTTCCCTCTTTTGTCGTCAATGAGAGAACTTTACCAGGTTACAGAACGAAGCATTTCACGAACAGTGTACAATAAGCATATTGTATCTGTTACTCATCTTGTCACAGAAACTGGAGACACACTTTACCTGGACAACACAGGTATTTCCCTACACGTGCCCCCAGGAGCTGTAGGACCTCAACAAAATCAGTTAATATCGCTCGTCCTCAACTGGGACCTGTCTGACAACCCTTGCTTAGAAAAACATCAGTCTTTGGTGAGCCCTGTTGTTTACTGCGGTCCCCATGGACTTAACTTAAAAAAGAGTTGCGAGCTTGTGTATAAGCACTGTGCTTACAATGCCAAACATTTGAATATAATGGTCAGTGAAACAGAACTTTGCGGTCAGAAGACCTGGCAAATGCTAGAGACTTGTTCGAACAGCCTGCGAGACAAAAAAAACAGAGTCTCAAGCAAAAGAAATAATGAAAAGACAGTTGTCTCTTCTGTAACAGTCACCCAAGACGAGTGTCGAGTGAACATCTCCAGTTTTACTTTGTACACTGCCATCATGACAATTCCTAACGAGGAAAAGGATGGATCTCTTCACTGTGGGAAGTGGCTACAAGTGGCAGTCTTTTCATATCCACTTCATCCAGATGTGGTGCACCATCAGACTCGTATTTATTTCTTAAATAAAACACCATGTGCACTGCAGTGGGCTATCCAGAATGAGTCCAAATTTGGAGGTTCTATGTGTTGCCCAGAAAAGGTCTTTCTATTTCATGGTAGTCACTCGGAGAATGGAAAAGATATGATGATCCGAGCAACATATATGTCAGAAAACTGGGAACTAATTGACGACGTAGACGATTCGAACAAGATTCCGTTTCTCTATATTTGGCACGGAAAATGTCCCTATGCATCTATATGCTTCCGGCGCAAGTCTACAACAGATCAGGACTGCTTACAAGAATTGATTCTTCAGTTTTTTATCTACCAAGAAAATATGGAGGATGCCGGCGAGAAGCTTACTTTACAGACACTCCCTGTATTAAGACCTTGCAGATTATCTGATGACACCTGTGAAGACAGGGTGTGCATGAAACACGGGGTTTCACAAATCAGTATTAATGTATCGCTAAACAAAGGCATTGATCAATTGGATCTGTACAAGGTAGCCAGCCAACTGAAGTGCCGACGGATTCCACAAGACCTTCGTTTGAAATTGCGTCTTCTTCTTGATCCTTCTTGTCCATTTGGAAACAACTGGAAATTCCTTGCTTCTGCAATGGGACTTGATTCAAGCATTCGCTACTTGTCGACATTTGAATCACCCACAGAAGAACTTATGGATATTTTAGAGCAGAACATGAATAGCCTGGACGATCTACGTGTTTATCTGCAGGACATTGACCGTTTGGATGCGATGAAAGAAGTTGAGGACTTCATTGAAAAAACTGCTGAAAACTGTTGACTATCATTCATTATTGAAGAGACGAACTCTTATCAATACTCACCGAGTTATCGAATTAGCACCTATGCATTAATTGACTGTATTTCTGTGTATATATGTGTTCAATCGAAATCATTAAATCATTAAAAAATCATTGCATTTGTCATACTTTCAATGTTTTTGAAACTTAATGGCGATATGTTAGAATGTTCAGAATGTAATTAGGTTTTATTTATTTAGATATTAATTATCAAAAATGTAATCACCTTTATTTTCAATGACCACAACCCAACAGGAAGGTAAATTTTTGATGCCAGGTTTGAAAAATCTGGGTTTTTTATCAAAAAAAAAAATTTTTTTTTTCTTTAATAACATTTTTATTCCTGTGTGTTCTACCAGTTTTGAGGGAAACAAATAATTTGTTGGTTTGGTCTGGTTGGGTTGGGTTTGGTTTGTTTTACAGCATATCAATGGGTTATTTAATGCTGACAAAATTTTTATTGCTGGTTTTTCTTCAAAAATCTATTTCTGGGAATATTTTCCTTGGAGAAATCTATAGCTGGTCTTATTTTTTTCAAAGAATGTATAGCTGTTTGTATTGCTGGTATTTTTTTTTTTTTTTTAAGTATTGCTGATAATAATTTTTTCTTCAAAAATTATTGCTGATGATAATTTTTCTGGTATTAAAATCTATTTTTACACAAGGTGTTACCACCCTGGGTCAGTGTGAACCTGGGAACACCAGCAATTAAGAGGTGGTTTCATGCTCCTCAAAACCTCCAGATCAGAGGCCTTGCTGCTGGACGTAGTTTAACGTTTTACCCAGGACGTAATTTGTAGGTAGTAAATATGCTGTGTATGGAAGATGTGGAAGAACCTTCCATCTTAAAACCAAGAAAGAATATGATTATTGTTTTGCAGAGTGTACTCTTTCATTGTCATGCTGGAGAATAGCAAATTTTCTATTTACCAAAGCAAGGCACTTTCAATGTAATGGTTTGTCTACCCGATCAAATTGCTAGCAATAAATTGTAATGATTATTCTATGTTCCAGTAACTCGTAATTGATGATGCTTTTCATATTCCATCGGCAAAGACTTCTGTGGATGGAATCGGTTTTTCTTTTCTTTTTTTTTTTTTTTGTATTGGCACTCTTTTCTCATTTACTGATAACCAGTCTTTTTGTTTTCTGTTGACATGCAAAACCCATTTTTCATCACCTGGAAAAATGAAAGGTTGGCATTCCTGGTTAAAAGACTGCTGCAAGTAGTGGAAGGTTATGTTGGTTTCTGAAATGAAAACCCATGAAGAATCAAAATTCCTTCTTTGCAAGCTTTCCAATTACACTCTGAAAAATACTGCAAACTACACACTGTTGCATAGAAGTCTAGATGCAGTTTCCTTCCATTTGACCTAGGTTCTGTCTTGGTTGGTTATCTCATAATTAATAGTAGTGAAATATGTAATTACTTTTCGAACACAAAAATGCTTATATTGTTAAATTGTTTAAAGCAAGGATTACAATCTCAGGGGCAGCGTGAATTATGTAAACTTCTCCCCAGAACAAGTATTAATTTTTTGTTATTTTTAAATGAGTAAATTATGCAGGTATATACTTAATTACATACAACAAATAACGTTTATAGTTCTGAAAGTATAAACCCTACCCCAATACTTTGTCTAAGAGTTCAGAATGTTTTTATGTTCTAACTGCATTGAAGATTTTTTTTAAAATACTTTCCCCACTTAGTGAGTTAGATGCTTAACAACCTGGACTTACAATCAGCTATAAAATAAAAAAAAGATCCAACCAATTGATATTGTAAGTTGTACAAAAATTTTGCACATGATTGATTTCTCAACAAACTTGGACTTCCGTGCCCACAAAAAAAAAAAGAATAAATATGTCAAAAGAATGGGTTTTCCATTGACACCTCTATTATTTTAATTGCCTTCACTCCTCGACAATGTTTATTGTTTTAAGAAGTGATTAGAATTGGAATAAAACCTAAACATATGATGAAAGAGAATTTATACATTTTTTTGTTCTTGAGAATTTACAATAAAAATATTAAACACTATTTATTAGGTTTATTTACAAGAAAAATTTTATATTTACAACATTCAAAAAATTAATACAATTAAAATTAATGCAATATTTATTATTTACCCATTTATAAAGAAATTGGGGAAAAAATTTATTCATAAATTATAAACATTTACTAAATTATTCAAATATTTGAACCAACTATTAGGAAATGCTTATTGTTAACCATTTTATAAACTATAAGGATCGAATCAATTGGCAATTAGCCAATGTTTTGCCAATCATTCCAATAAACACTATAATAAAAAGCATAAATAAGCAATTTAATAAATAAATAGTGTTTATTATTTTTGTTATCAGTTACAGTCAGCAAGCTGAAGTAATGTACAGGATATTGAGCTGATTTTCAGATCTGTTTATTATGTTTATTGTTTAGTACACTACCCTACTATATAAACATTTAGAATTATTGTTTAGTACACTACCCTACTATATAAACATTTAGAATTAAATTAAAAATGTTACAAATGGTGTACAAGTGACATTAAAACAATCTAAAGTGGGTTGATACAAACCTATTACACATGTAATTTGCCTGAAATAGAAAGAAAGTTATGACTTCTCGCTTAGCAAACAGCTTGTTAAGATGGAATCCGGTTGTTAAGGAAGGAGTGGCTATAGCTGATTTCCTTCAAAATTTATTTACCTAGGGCTTTTATTTAGACCAGTGTTTATCGACCATTTTTTTACCTTTTTGTTTCAGTGCGCACTTATAGAATAAGTAAAACTCTCTTCTTTTTTACAGCGAGATTCACCCTGTATAAGGCCGGAACCACCTGAGACAGAGGGTTACAAAGTAAGAGGCACAGTTTATGTGGATAGGTGGGGAAGATAACAGTTAACCCTAGACTTGAACAAATGAGGATTGTAGTGATCAGGAAAACATCCTCTTCTGAGTTGGTTCCACAGAGCAGTGGTTCACGGGAAGAAGATGCTTGAGCGGAACTTCTCATCAATGGAATACTGATGAAATGAGAGTGGCTTGCTACAATGTATGTAGCATGGTGGGTCTTAGTCATGAAGGTTAGAACTAAGGGATATAGTTCATGTGAGCACTTTCCATGGAAGTAGCAATAAAAAAGTGAGAAGTTTGCTACATCTCTTCTGTGAGAGGGGGAGGGGGGTTGCAAGGTGGAAAATAATTTGTCACCCACAAGGACACAGACACGCTTTTGGACTCTGTCCAGACTAGAAAGTGAAGATTGAGCAGTTCTTGCCCAAATAGAACAACAGAGCTCCATTTTAGGCCTGATCTAGCTCTTGCAAAGATAAGGGATAACACAAGGAGTCAGGTACTTGCTAGAGAGGGTACAGGGAACCGACCATTTTTTTCTGTATCTTTAGTGATGGATTATATGTACATGAGGTTTGGGTTGAGTTTAAGGGCCTAATAGTCGTGCTCAAGGCATGGGCCTCCTTGAGGAGACATCCATTCATTGTGATAGTTCAGGGTTCAATCGGCAATAATGAAATGTAACTAGTTTGGTTTTTGAGGCATTGAATGTAACTAGCCAGATTTTCCCTACATGTTAGAGCTAGATCAGCAGGTTTGGTTTGGTTTATTTTGTTTTACGCCATATCAACCTCAATGGGTTATTTGAGGCTGACAAAATTTTTTGTATGAACAGAATATGTATTCTTTGATTTAGATTGGTTTGGTATATTTTGTCCCATGGCACACCAACCCCAATGGGCTACTCAATGTCGACAAAATTGGTGTCAATATTTTGTTTTGTCAAAAATCTGTTTCTGTTAATATTTTTCCTTCAAAATTGTACTGCTGGTAATAGTTTTTCCAAAGAAGTATTGCTGGTAATAGTTAACTATTTGCCCATAGCTGGGACCCTAACAGGTGCAACCACCCCAGGTCAGGGTGGACCTGGGAACACCAGCAATTAAGAGGTGGTTCCACACTTCTCAAAACCTCTTAATCAGAGACCTTGCTGCTGGACATAGTTTATCGTCTTACCCAGGACGCGAATGTAGTTTAACGTCTTACCCAGGATGGATATCAGCTGGCAATCTCTGTTCATCATGAGTTTTGGAGGTGCACCCTTATACTATTGTATCATTGACATAGATATTCACAAATGAGCTGAGTATACTTTTAGGCAGATCATTTATGTAAAGGGTTGATACAAGGAGTGACACCTGGAGGATGCCAGCGTTGATTGTTAGGGCCCCAGAGGACTAGTAGCTAACTCTCTTCAGGGACCTACCCGTCAGGAAGGATTTTATTATTGAAGAAACTCTTTCAATGATTTCATAGCGAGAGAGTGTGAACAGCAATCATGAAACACACTTTAAATTTTATGAAAAATTGGTCATACATTGTGAAAATATGAAATTTTGGTTTAGCATTAGTGGTATTGTTTTCATTTAAAGAGATTTATGAAGAATCTTCTTTTTTCTTTTTCTTTTTATAAAGGCCAATAATGACTGATTTAAATACCCCAAGGAAAGGAAAAAGAAAAGGATTATCCACTCCTTAAAAATGAACGAATTTAGCATTTAGAACTGGGATCCAAGTAAAAAGAGATACAAGACAAACAATTTCAGAGAAAAACTGAAATTTTTCAATTCTTCAAAATCAAATTGCAGTTAAAATTTTATCCCAACTTTAAACAATCTAATTTCTAATTACTTACGCACAAATACCCTTGGGTAAAATATGAATCCATCTATTCTTCCCCAAAGCTATGGGTTAAATAAGAGAACAGACTGGATCTTATCACCCTCGGTTGGCAACCAGTCTACTGCAGAAAGTAACAGAAACCTACTGCAGGTATTATTCTGAATCAAAAATAGAAATGATCATCCAAACATGCATCACACATGGCGCCTAAGGAAGGAAGTTTATGTAAGCAGTGATATCACAGGTAGGATTTATCAAATACTTGGAATTTTTCATTCA